TGAAACCTTGTTCATTTGTTTTATGTTATTCCCTGGATAATATATTAGTTTTTCCCCTGATGATGTTATATGGTTGTAACAGTACACTGAGTTCTTCTCTAGGGTAAATATTTATAAGAATGTGTCAATTTCAGACCATTTCGCGCCTGATTCAGACCCTGACAATGTTTACGAACAAGAGGATCGTCCAGAACGGATTTCATTCAGACTTTACAAGCACGGCTTTCACATTGGTATGTTTTTTGTAATTTTATTATACATTATAGATACGATGTTATCCACCATTTAATCGTGACATTAGTCGGGAAACTATGGCAATACAAACAGTAATCGATTACAAAACCATGGTTAATTTTCCTAAGCAGCGGTGAACAGTCTTACAGAAGCTACAGAAAACAAGCGGTTCTCCATTAAATGTTCGTTTCATCAACTGATTCGGACCAGAGCAATCAGTGTGTGTGAAAAGGGACCAAAACGCCTTAAAATGAGACAAAGTATAATTTTTCGCCCTTAGTCTGGACCAAATGAACCGAACTACAGATGTGAAAGCACCCTAGAGTGTGTGTGGTTGTATATATAAGACCAGCATTTGTTTGTATGCTCAGTCTTGAAGTAGGATCGATTGTGTGTGCCTGTTTGGCTGATCTTGAGATACTTTTTACCCAGATCTTTTGAGTTTTGGGAACTTTGCTTTATGTTATTGGACTTTTTTCCAGCGTTAAGTCATTGTGGATTTGCACCTTCTTGACTTCAGGGGAGAACTGAGCGACTGAGTCTGGGTTCTCCCAAGGTTTATTTCTCCATTCTGTCCCTGATGGAGTTTTGCCCCTTTGGCTTTTGTCTTGCTTAGTTGGGGACATTTAATATTCAGCAATATTACCGGTATTGATCTTCCTGCATTGACACCATTATATGAAAACTGAACTGAGCTGGACGATGACATCACGGTTTCTCCAGAGCAGCTATATATAAATGAACTAAATTAGTAACTTTTTTACAACAGAAATGTACCATCACTGAACTTAAGCTGGATATGACGCTATCATATCACTGTTAAGCTGCTTTGAAACAATCTGTATTGTAAAAAGCGCTATATAAATAAAGAGTGACTTGACTTCAGCCCTGCTTTTGAATTTTTGTGTGTGTGTTTATTCAAGAAGGACATTAAAGATGATTTGTTTTCCTCGAGTCCTGTGATTCTCTGCACTGTGGGCCCACACTGCTCCAGTAGTGTTAGTGCTCTGGTTAGTGCCAGCAACACTGTGGGTTCGAGCGCCGGTCGTGAACCACCAGTATGATGGACCAGCAGAGGCTGAACACATTCATGGAGACATTAGCAAACCACATGACAACGGTGGACTCAACTTTTTTGGATAATGTAACATTACAGAATACATGTAAGGTTAACTTTAGACAGATCCAGGTCCAGACGGAGACCTTTATCCTCACCCATACGTTCTCAAACTTTGATGGTGTTTTCTTAGTAGCAAGTATAATATCACAGACAGTGAAACTATTTGAATTTCATCACCTTTTTCTCAGCAGGTCGGCTACTATAAATGGATATCTTGTATAAACTATTTTTTTTTTTCTTAAAGGGGTCATATAATGACATTTTTGTACAAGCTAATATGATTCTTTAGGGTCTAAATTAAAAGTTTGTAATATACTTTAATTAAAAATTCTCATTAGTATTGTAAGAAAACACTTATTTTACCTGGTCAAAAACAGCTCTGTTTTCAGCACGCCGTTTCAGTGCATATGCCTTTAAATGATAATGAGCTGTGCTGACTCCGCCTCTCTGTTCTGCGCATACACCGTTTGTAACACAATACCATAACGTGTTGTTCATTATAAACGTGGGATTATGAATTATATGGAGAACGTCGTACATAGAAAACATGCAGTAATGTACCCTGAGTGTAAACCTTAGACTCATTCATCGTGAAGCGATTTGCAAAGATATAAATATTAATATAAAGTTTAATAAAACGTTACACTCACTTCAGTTGTTCTAGAGGTTCAGCAGGAACACGAATATCTGGTACCGATTCTTTATTCAGGAGCAGCTGCTTAGCAAAACCAGCTTTATAACTTACTGATCCTCGTTTATAAAGCAGTCTGGTGTGAAATGATTCGCGCAAACATGAACGCATTGACGTTGCTCGTGGGGAATATTCCCTTCGAAAACAAACTCAGCCACTGCGTCTTCAGCGGTTCGGATTTAGGAACATTAAAATGACTGTGTTCGTTATTACACCCAAGAACAGAACACCACAATCGCTTAGACGCCATTCTGCTCATAGACAGCTCCAGCATATCAACAATGAGCGCGCCGGTCCGCGCAGACTATGATTGACAGCTCTCACGAGCGAGGGCGGGTCTGTGTTGAAACGCGCCTATCAATCAACAATCGGGGGAGGGGCTTCCGAGCGTGTGACGTCACACGGTCGAACGGCTTGATTTGAGGCAGGGGAAAACATATAAGGAGATTAAAACAAAACCACTGGATGGATTTTTATCATTATATGATGGTTGTGTACAGGCACTGCCAACACACATTTCAGTACAATCAACTTGAAAAAGTGCATGTACCATTATATGACCCCTTTAAATATTGGTGAAAAAAATGTATGGCGTTATATTCAGTAGGCTATATGGATCAGTTATTTAATTTAAATGGCTTTCGGCATATTATTATCTTTACAACAGCAGGGAACTATGCAAAATGTTGCAGTGCAATATCTCGTCAAATGTCTAGTTGTTTAGACACCAAACATTCAACAATGATCCCTTCATAAGTTCTTATAACCTTCAGAACAGATACAGAGCTTCAAAAGAGATATAGAAAAAATGTTTGGCTTATAGTCTACTTTTTTTATTGCCATTTTATAAAGAACTTGGTGAAGGATTTGGCACTTGCTGTGTGAACACAAAAAAAATATATGGACATGATTTGAAAAGGTTAAATGGTCCTTGAATTGTTCGCATGAACAATGAGCGTATTGGAAATGAATGGGAAGCGAGTTTCACTTAGTGGAAGTTCTCCTTCTAGTGTTATGGTCATGAATAGTTTTGGATGCAATTTATAAACTACGTTATACATAATACAAGCATTCTGAAAACTGTTGCACTCAGCGAGCTTCAAAAGCTTATACCTATAAAAAAGCGGACCAGAGGGAGCATCATAATTTGCCCATGATATTACACGTATAACTTTCTTCTGTAAGATCTGCAATTTTTCAAGATAGCTTGGATACGTGTTACACCATATTACAATAATTTAGATGTGATTCAAAAAGAGACCGGTACAATGTTAGAAGAGCATTAAAAGGAAGATCATCTTAATTTATAGAACAGACCAATTTTGACAATTCTTTTGTTAAACATTCTATATGTTGTTTAAAGTTTAAGGACTCATCTAAATAAATTCCTAGGAATTTGATGTTCTCTACTCTTTCAATTACTTTGTTATGTATTTTGATTAGTATCCTTTCAATGTTTGTCCGGCTGCTATTTGAACGAAATATAATAAATTTGGTTATAATACATTTACTGATAATTTGTTACATTTAAACCAACTATCTACTTTAACTAATTGCTCATTAACAAGCTTCTGTAAAATATCTGGATTTTTATGTGATAAAAAAAGATTAGTGTCATCTGCAAAGATAACCTGATGAAAAATATTTGATGAACTTATAATGTCGTTTACATACAAAATAAAAAGAAGTGGACCTAATATGGAGCCCTGGGGGACTCCACAAACGATATCTGTGCATTCTGAATAACTATTGTTTATTTGGACAAATTGCTCCATATCAGTTAGGTAACTTTTGAACCAGCAGAGTGCCTTCCCTCTGATACCATAGTGTTGCAATTTCCCAATTAGAATTTCTAAATCAATGGTGTCGAAGGCTTTTGATAAATCTAGAAATACACCAATACCAATCTCACCATTATCTATAGCGTCATTGATTTATTCAATGAGATCCAGAATTGCCAAACAGGTAGAGCTCTTTTTCCTAAAGCCATATTGATATGGGATGAGTATGTTCATTTTATCCAGGTAACCGCTAAGTCTGTTGTACACAACCCTCTCAAGTACCTTGGAAAAAGTAGGTAAAATGGATATAGGTCGATCATTTTGTAAGTTATTTTTTTTCAAAAAATGACCGAAAAAATTTCAAACACAACTTTTTAAGCCTTTGATTTTCTCACAGTTTTAGACTAAACGTGTTTTGGAAAATACATTTTTCAAATAAAAATGTAAAATTGACAAAGTTCACATTTTTCCCTTCATCAATAATCTGCCAAGAGACCAAACTTCAGTATGTTGCTCCAAAGCATTCAAGATTTATGAGTTTATGTTGAAAACAAAATCTATTAAAAAAGTGAAGAAATGGATTATAACTACTGCATACATATAATATGGTACGTACCATAAAATTCCCTAAAAATAAAAAAAAATATTAAATAGATTGAACATTATCGAACTAAATAAGAAATAATAATAAATAAAACAAAATCGGTCATTTTTGACCGACACATGAAGAGTAGGTTACCAGAGGGTTATACATATCCATACTCATTTTTTACACAAATACAAGCGTCAATAATCAATATATTATATAAATGAATTTAAGGTAATGTTTGAATAGGTTACTTATATGTGATCTGTGATGTTATTGTGCACTGCAGTTTCTAGCAGAGATCATATGCGCTCTGTCCTCGTGCCGCTCCGAGCTCGTTCTTCCCCGTTAATATCCGACTTATCCTGGCGAAACCGGTCACGAGAACCATAGACATAATAAATTAAAATACCAATGTTTATTATGTCTCTTCTTGACGGATGTGCAGTGACTCTCCGGAGGATCTCAAACAAAACCCATCTCTGCGCGCGCGTCCTCCTGGCGACGCGTTACCATGGAGACGGTCGCGTAAACAAACGGACGGGAAGCGCCTCGCGAATCCTTCAGGATCTGTTACTCTATCTTCATAAATTGACTTAAAAACCATATCAATTCCAAACCCAAATCTTAACTAGGTTGACGGAAATCTTTCTAAATTCGTCCGGTAAGTCTTAAACTGACTGCGTGTTGAATCATCTCTGCAGCTAGTTAAGAGTTTGTATGATAACGATTAAACCTTCATTTGTCTCAAATAATCGATGATCTTGCTCTAATATTCTACATATTCAAGGGAGCTGATAGTGGTATTAATGATAAAAAAATAATAAATATTGTTTTACTTGCATTTTATTTCACAATACAGGTCACCGTGCTTTACAGTGGTTTCAGATTAGAAAACATTAACACAAAGTAAACATAATACTAAAAACGAAATAATACATCAATAAAAAGGTTACACTTTACAATAGTTAACATTAGTTACGTTAATGTATTTACTAACATGAACGTACAATGAGCAATACATTATTTACAGTATTTATTAATCTTTGTTAATGTTTGTTAATATAAATCCAGCTGTTTATTGTTTGTTCATGTTAGTTCACAGTGCATTATCTAATGCTAACAAATACAACCTTTGACTTTAATAATGTATTAGTAAATGTTGAAATGAATATTAACTAAGATTAATAAATGCTGTAGAAATATTGTTCATTCTTAGTTCATGTTGACTAATGAACCTTATTGTAAAGTGTTAGCATAACAGCTATAAACTAGTTCAGAAAGGCGCACAAAGCTTGCTGTGTGACCTGTAAATAGGGACAAACAGAGTTATGTTAAACTGAAAATGTTAAACATAATATTAAAAACGAAATAGAAATATACAACTACCGGACATAGATGAGTAAGAGCCACTTCTGTCATGTTGAGATGTGTGTCTGAAGCAGGTGTGTGTCCTCTGTAACTGCATTAGTGTGTGTGTGTGTGTCTCTGATCTTCTCTCAGTGATGGACGCTGACGGGGAGGAGATAAAGCAGCAGCTCAGGCTTCAGTTTCAGGCTCTTCAGGAGCAGCAGGAGCACAGGAGACAGCAGATGAAGAAGAGCAGATCCAGGGCTCCTCCTCCTCTTCCTCACAGCGGCCTGGACCACATCAGCCTCACCACACAGCAGGAGGAAGAGGAGGAGGAGGAGGAGCGGTTCAAGGCCAGGTGACTGACACGCTCACATCTATATCAGTACCAGAACTACATCACAGTGACAGGACTCAGACCTGAGGCGATTAATCATCGGTAACTGAGCCCTACTTAGGGAACCTACAACCGTTTGTTTGTTTGGTTTTATTCCACATCTTTTCAAAGCAAGATCTCACTTTAGTTGACATACTTCCCTTCACTATGCTTTGTCAGATATTACCTTTCAGTCACACTTTAGTTTAGGGTCCAATTCTCACTATTAACTAGTTTCTCATTAGTTATTAGCATGCATATTACGAGGATATTGTCTGTTTATTAGTACTTATAAAACACATATTAATGCCTTATTCTGCATGAACATATTCTACATTTCCTAATCACCCAATTCCTAAACTTAACAACTACCTTGCTAACTATTAATAAGCAGTAATTAGGAGTTTATTGAGGCAAAAGTCGTAGTTAATAGTTAGAATTGGAGCCTAATCTAAAGTGTGAGCATACCTTTCATGTAGTGTGTGATAAAGCTGTCTGTGGATGTAAAACGTCCGCAAAGTTTCAGAGCTCAAAGTGCAGATAAATAAAGATTCATCTACAAAAGAAAGAAGTGATTGTGAACTGAAACGAGTCTTCAGTAAGTCCAGTCTCACTTCCTGCTTAAATCTACATAGGTTTGTGTCTAATTTGCATAATGCACACCTATGGTTTTCATTGGCTGCCAGTTTACTTTGCCCCGCCCTCAAACACTAGTTGCAGTGATGGGAGAAACTGATCTTTTCGAAACTTTGAATCAATTGAAAGAATTGATTCATTAAATGATTCAGTGTTTGGAAGCGCTGGAAACGCCACACCATGACAACCTTCGAACCAACTGCAAACGTTTATTGAAGATGCAATATTAACTGCAATTAAGAAATCGTCTGATACCATTAAATATCAAGTGTCTTTATAATATGTGTTATTTTATTAAATTGTAGGGCTTGTTTATGGATAGCTTGGTTAATCATGCCAATAATAGACTATTAACTAGACCTTTTTTTATTATACAAATGTGTCTAGAAGTATTTTAAAAACCACATAGACACTAGCAGTGAACCATTGAACTTTAAAATAAACCCAGTCTGGGTGGTGTCACGACTCCACCACACGCTCACGTGTTATTAATATTGAGGAGTGAGTGTATGTGTTCAGAGTGATCCAGGAGGAAACCCAGCAGCTGCATGATCGTCTGAGGGAGCTGAGAGACGAGAACGGCCGGCTCCACAAACTGCTGAGTGAGAGAGACTTCGAGCTCCAACACCTGAAGAAGAAGAGAGAGGAGGAGCGGCTGGCTCTCGCAGGTACAGTCCGGCTGGGACACACACTGTGGCCTTAACACACATCACGTACGTCACACTTATCGAACTATATGAGAAATGGGCAAATAGTCTCCTCTGCTCACACAAAAATACAGTAAAACAGTGAAATATTATTATAATGTAAATCAGCTGTTCTCTATGTGAATATATAGTCAAGTGTAATTTATTCCTGTGAATGTCCAGCATCATTACTCCAGTCTTCAGTGTCACATGATCCTTCAGAAATCACTCTAATATGATGATCTAATGAAACATTTTATGATTATTATCAGTGTTGGAAACAGTTTCATGGATACATTTTATTTTTCAGGATTTTTTGATGAATAGAAAGTTCAAAAGAACAGCATTTATTTTGAATATTAATCTTTAGTAAGGTTATAAATGTATTTACTGTCACTTTTGATCAGTTTAATGCATTCTTGACAGTTATTTCAGTTTTTTATTTTTTTTATTGGCTTTTAGTTTTCATGTTAATTTTATTTTAATTTTAAGTCATTTCTTTATGTGCTTTTGTCATTTTATTATTTTTTATAATATTGTTATTTAGGTTTAATTTATTTGTATTTCAGTTTTAGTTTTAGTTTAATTTTAGTTTTATTTATTTCAGTTTATTGCCGAGGCAACATTTCTAATTTTTTTTTAGTTTAAGTTTTCAACTAATTTTTAAATGTTATTCTATTTCAGCTTTATTTCAATTAACAGAAATGTTGAAATAGTTTTAGTTACTGATAATAAACCCATGGAAGCTTGTTTCCGCCACAGAGTAAAACATTTTAAAAAATACATTTAAATTTATAGATTTAAAAGATAATTGCGATCTCACTATTGTGACTTGCAACTGCGAGAAATAAACCTGTTTATATCTCACAATTCTGACTTTATAACATACTTTAAGCGACTTTATATCACGCAATTCTGAGATAAAAAGTCGCAATTACCTTTTTGATTTTTTATTCTGTGGCTGCAACTAGCTTCCATAGGTTAATTATCATTAACTAAAAGTATTTCAACATTTCTGTTAATTGAAATAAAGCTGAAATATAATAAAATTGAATATTAGTTGAAAAACTATTGTGGAATTGTGGAAACAAGCTTCCATATAAACCTAATAAATATAAAAATAAACCTAATCCTTGATGAATAAAAGTATTAATTTCCTGACTGACCCACAATCTTTGAACAGCAGTCAGTGTGTGTAACTAAATGTATTTTGTGAAATGTTTCTTGTCATGTCTTTCGCGCAGTAAGTGCCCAAACAGTGTTGAATATCTGTCTGGTATAATACACCTGTTTTCCTCAAGGAACTGCTGGTTTGGCAGGAGATGCAGCGGCAACCAAAATTGTGGAAGTGTCAAAAAAGAATCGCGAATTAGCAGCTGAAATAGAGCGAGAGAAGACCAAAACTAAACAAGCAAACAACCGGGTCAAAGCACTGGAGAAAGAGGTAAAGAAGAAACAGAACCGTTAACTGGAAAGTTGTTTTGGTCAGTTCATCCTCATCCAGTCTTATTACTGTAGCTTCAGGCCACACTGTTACTGAATCCTGCAAAGACGGCCAACAAAACTCAGACTTCAAGGGCTGTGAACGACTATCTGGAGGTAATGTTGTGTCATGACATCATTCGGCACATGATTAGACACTGCTGGTCACTCTTTTACATGACTTTACTCCCGGTGTGATGTTGTGCAGAACAGCCCGGTAGTGAAATCCCTTCAGGAGAAACTGTCTGCAGCACAACTCAAAATGGCTGAATACCGCAACCAGATCCAGACCTGCAAGCAGGAGCTCAGAATGGCTCACAAGGTGTGTGTGTGTGTGTGTGTGAGTGAGTGAGTTAGAGAGAGCAACATGACTCGCTTTTAACAATATAGACTGTTTCAAAGCAGCTTTACAGTGATAATAGGAGATTCCAGTAACAGATTGTTTTGGCTGTACAGCAGCTCTAGAATAAAGTTATTGAAGTTAGGTTTGATTGATTCACTTCCGTCACATGCGAGTGTGTGTTGGCAGGTGTTGAGCTGTGAGGTGGGAGAGGACGTCAGTATTCAGCAGGTTCTGTGTAACCCAGGAGGATGGAGAGGCCGATCTCAGCAGATCCTCGTCCTGCACAACAGAGTGAGTCCATCATTTATAACTCCTGTGTCACACACCTCAGCCCTTCACCTGATGTGTGTTCAGTTAGCAGAGGGTTTGTGTTGCTTCTCAGAGCTGGTGGATCACAGGCTTCGATGATCTTCTGAAGTGAATAAGCTCGAGGTTTTCCACTCAAACTCAGATCAGCGAGGCCTATGGGTAATCAGGTCCAAGAAGAAACACAAAACCTGTGCTAACTGATCAAGAAAACAAGCTGACAAAAAGATTGAATCCAATATTTGGCGATAGCATCATGAGAGATTTATAAGCTGTGTTTTGTAGGCTGATTCCTTTTTACCGGGAACACCACAAGTGGAACAATGTAAAAAAAAAAAAACCTCAACAAGTACAAACCATAAACACATACATATACATTTCCATATAACATATAAAACAGATGACAAACAACAACAAAAGCCTTATTAAAATCTTTTTGGGGAAGTTGTTATTCCCTGTGTGAGCAAAGTCAGTAAGTTTGAGTCCAATGCAATTATATTTACTTGCATTTTCTGGAAAATGAATATCCAGAATGACCGGAGCACAACTTGCCCGAGCAGCCATCAAGTATTCTGGGGTTTTCGGGCCAATGATTAAAAACTCTGTTTTTTTATCAGATATTAGTAGTAGGAAATTACTACTATCCAATTTTGTTTATATCGACTATGCATTCCTTTAAGTTTTGTGAATTGGTCTGTTTCGTCAGGCCTGGAAGAGATATAAAGCTGAGTATCATCAGATAACTGAAAACTGATTAGTGAAAACTAACGCCATGTTTTCTAATGATATATATTATAATGTACACTGGGGAGATATCATTATAAAACATGAGAAGAGCTACACACTAAAGCAAACCTTATATTGACTGCAGGTGCGAGACCTGGAGCAACAGCTGAGCCAGTCGTGTCCCAGCAGTGAGCCAGGCCTCGAGGAGGAGATGAGGAGGACACACGACAGGAACATCAGCCACATCCGTCACATGGAGCGGGAGAAGAAGGAGGCGCTGGAGGTGCAACTCTCTCATCTCTACCGTTCACACTCTGCACAGTACACACACTCTGATCGTGATGTGTGTTTTCAGAAGCTCACTGTGGACTATGAGGTTCTGCTGGAAGAGCACGCGGATGTGAAGAAGAAACTGGAGGGCTCCAGAGCCAGGAGCAAAGTGTTGAGCACAGAAGTGAAAGCCCTGAAGAGCCAGATCAGCACTCTGCTGGAGAAGGGCCGACACGACGACGAGCTGGTCCACGCATTACTGGTGAGATCACTCATTCTCACATTATAATACACTTTATAGTGCCATTTGTTTGAACATTAAAACAATCAAATAAAACAAACTAATGAATGAATAGAAAAAAGAAATAATAATAATAATAAACAAATTACAGGACATCTAGAACAAGACTAAAACTAATAAAATATACATTTTGACATTTAGAATTTAGAAAAACTTTATTGTCTATCACTGATGATAAAAATGTTCTTAGGTTAAAAAGCTCTTATTCAATACAATCAACAACACAAACAATTCAACAATCAACATAAACATACAATTCATTATTAAAACAGACATCTTAAAAAAATTAAATGGAAACTACAATTGTGCACAATTCTACAACCCACACACACTCGCAATTGGGCACAAACTAATTCCTGTTAAAAGTAAAACTCATTTCTTTAAACCATTGGTTAGGGGAAGGTCCTCAAGTAAAGCAATAGCACGCTTGGCCTGAAGCAAACTAAAATCAATTAGTTTGCACTTTCTTGCATTCACCTCCAAATTTACTGGGTAAATATAAAATAGACACAATTTGGGTGTAAGAGGGCCATTTCCTCAATCAATTTACCAAATCCTTGAATCTCATTACACTCCCATATACAATGGAATAATGATATCTTACTCAAATACACAATTCATAAACTACTGCTAATTTTTTTGTAAGAACACTTCTAAGCCGATAAATGACGTGAAGCAGATGATGTAGAGTACCTCGCTGCTCCAACAGAAGCAGCAGTCGCAGTGGCAGGCCATGTTCGGGCACCTCAGCCAGAGGGGCCACCAGCGCGAGGAGGCCCAGCAGGGCCTGGGGGTGCAGCTGCACAACGAGGCCCAGCAACACGCCTCCCTCATCCAGCAGCTCAAACTCAAGGTGTCGGAGAAGGAGAACAAGGTCAAAGAGCTGGAGCAGGAGATCCAGCAACTCGCCCTCCAGGTACCACACATCTGATATGGGGTGTTTCCCGGAAGCATCGTTAGCCAACTATGGTCAAGTTCTGTCGTTATTAGAATAGTTCAACGAGTCTGTGTTTCCCGAAACTATAGTTCTAATGAATATTCACTAACAGCATCGCAGAGTTGTGTGTTTGGAGCGACAGATCTCCTGTGGTTTGAAGCAGTTTCTTGTTTGCATGACATGTGGACTCAATACATCCTTATCTTGAGCCAAATAAGCAGCTGATATTCAGGACAATCTGTATCTTTATTTACAATACATACAAATGTCATTTACATCTTTTAGTTTGTCAAGATATTTAAAGCGTCGTTTTTGAAGACTGCGCATGTGTGAACGTGCTCTACTATGTAAAAACGAGTCTATGATTGAATCTGGAAATAAAGCAAAATAACTGAAAAAATAAAATAAAAATAGTCCTTAGATGCCATGTCTGTAATTTAGATCAAAACATCCAGCGTTAATTCGTTATCAAACAGTTTCATTAAATTTGCGACAATACGGTTTAGGGAAACAGTCAAGTCACCTTCATTTATACAGCGCTTTTAACAATATATACTGTTTCACAGCAGCGTTACAGTGATAATAGGAGATTACAGTAACAGATCGTTTTGGCTGTACAGCAGCTCTAGAATAAAGTTATTGTCCAGCTAAAGTTAGTTTTGATTGATTTACTTCCAAAGATCATTAGTTATTAACTTAGGAGCCGCTAACACGACACCTTTCTAACAGAAACCCTTAGAACCGCTCATCCGCACAACAGCAGTGTCTGGCGGCTCGAGAACACACCTTGAAGTAGGTTCTAAGGTACAAGCCTTTAAAATTTAGAAAAAAGGTTATCTCTGCGCAAACTTCAAAAACGCAAACCTGTGTAAACGCTGACGACGTGCTCATGCGTATTACGTTGCTGTGTGTGTCTGGTGCAGAAGCAGAGGGAGAGTAAAGGCCAACCTAACATCGGGCCTCTGACATCACGACAGGAGAACAGCAGGGAGTCCAGCTCTGCCAGGTACTGCCCGTCCCAGCGGACAGCTAACGTTCTCTCAAAGTTATGAACAAACCTTCTTCCAGGAACATTAAAAGAGTGTTTGTTTAATCTGGTCTTTTATTAAGGTTAGCACAAAAACTTTATTTATATATCATTCATGGAAAACACATTTCTGAAACGTTTTAGTTGGACGTTTGTCTAATGTTTTTTAAATGTATCTACTTGTTTTAGAACGTTCAGAGAACATTCCGAAGTAACATTCCAATAATGATTGAAGAATTATACAATGGAATGTTCCCTCAACGTTTGCATAACCAAGAGAAAAAGTTTGATGACATAAAAAACCTGGAGATTTTGAACATTCTGGGAACATTCTGAAATAATATTTTCATAACATAATTGAAACGTTTGCAAAAGTTCTTAGAATATATTTTTGTTAGCTGTATTATACAAACCTTTTGCCATTGAAAACTACTGTCAGGATTTACTAAAGACACACAGTGAGAAACTAGGGCTGAAAAGGCATTGACAGTTATTTTTGCGGCTGACCTTATTTCATTTGCATTTGTTGTAGTAGTTTCCCTTTCTGAGCCACAGAGAACAGAGAGTGTGTGAGATTATCTGATTATCACCGGCTCTATGCTAACGTTCTACTCCTGCCAGCACTTTTATGAGATGGAGCTCTCACACTAATGTGCCTTGTTTAGTAAATCTTAGTAAATCTACAAATAAATGTATAAGTAAATAAATGAAAAAAAAAAAGTTTTGTGGGAAAAATACAATTACACATAAATAAGGATATAAAAGTATAAATATTCTATTTATTTATTTTTATTTTTTCATTTCTTTGTATATTTATTTATTATTTTGGCAGCTTTGGAATTCCATGTGATCTTTTGATTTGGGAGAATAAGAATCCACCCCAAACACATTTTACATTGCATTTACAGTAGTACGCTTACAATTAGGGTTGGGTATCGTTTGGGTTTTATCCGATTCCAGTACCTACTCGGTATTTTTTAAACGGTTCCGGTGCTTAAACGGTTCTTAAATCGGTACTTAAGAAAATGAAACCGCACACACTTTATCAAAAAATAATACCCTTTAATTTACAGGGCCAAACTGGACACAATATTAACTTAAATCTTTAAACAATATAAATACAAGTAACATATGGTAATAATAAAACCAATATAAAATAAAAATTCATATTTACATAATATCAAATGAAACAATATTGTATCAAACAATGTAATAATACTGGAGATTAATTAATAGAGATTACTAGCAGGCAGAGCTGCCAACTCTCACGCATTGACCGTGAGACTCACGCAAATGACCCTTTTCACACAGAAAAATCGCGGACAAAGAGGACACGGACAGACAAGACAGAGAAGGTTACTTTTGATATGGAACAAATCCACAGCTGTCAGATTCTGTCAATATTTTTACGAGATTCACACAATAAATAACGTTTTGGCTCTTTGAAATGTGACAGATCGCTGTAGCGCGTCAGTTCAAACGGCACGTGATACAGCAGCCTACTTAGCTACGCAGCGTTGAGTGAACCTATGAAAGAGAACATCTCTGGTTACTGGTGTAACATATCTCTCAATAGGGAACGAGACGCTGCCAAGCTCCTCGCGCTGCCGACCAGCTTCCTTTTTCGGCAAAGAAATCTGAGGAGCAGATGGCGCGCGCGCGCCAACATAGTATGACGACGTAAGTGCGTCGATGCGGCGCCCGCGCCATCAGCCAATGAATTGGCTTGATTCTATATGGGATTCAGACTATCTGCACACCCAGAGGGCGTTCTGACACGTAATTTTACACGTGAAATGCAGCCAAACCTTGCGAGAAAGAGCGCGCATGCGAGACAGAAGAAACTGTGCTCCAAACTGTGTAGCACACGCACGGCGGAGAGAGAGAGAGCGAGAGACCTTGTGTGTGTGCGTGTGTGCCTAATGAAGTTAGGCACCGAAATCAGGCACCGAAATTTTCGTTCTTATTCGGTCTGGTTACTACCGTTTACGTCGGCACCGGTTCCCTATTGGCACCGAGTTTCGGTACCCAACCCTACTTACAATGGAAGTCTTTTTCTTCCTACTTTCTGTCCTGTGCTGAGTTTGGCACGGTCTACAGTATCTGGCGCTGTCTAACAGAGCATCATGAGTAAAAAGCATTGCGTGTGATTCCAGAGAAGCGCGAGCGGCCTGTCCGGAGTGTGTTAAAATCCCATCACTCCAGGCTCAGTGTGTGGAGTATAAGGCTCTGTTTCAGGCTGCTAGTGTGGAGAGAGACCGACTACTGGAGCTCACCAAGAAACAGCACACCAGGTACACTCATACTCTACAGTCACTGACAACTGTTAACCAAGATACAGCACACCAGGTACACTCAGACTCTACAGTCACTGACAACTGTTAACCAAGATACAGCAATCCAGGTACACTCAGACTCTCTACAGTCACTGACAACTGTTAACCAAGATACAGCACACCAGGTACACTCAGACTCTCTACAGTCACTGACAACTGTTAACCAAGATACAGCACACCAGGTACACTCAGACTCTACAGTCACTGACAACTGTTAACCAAGATACAGCACACCAGGTACACTCAGACTCTACAGTCACTGACAACTGTTAACCAAGATACAGCACACCAGGTACACTCAGACTCTACAGTCACTGACAACTGTTAACCAAGATACAGCACACCAGGTACACTCAGACTCTACAGTCACTGACAACTGTTAACCAAGATACAGCACACCAGGTACACTCAGACTCTACAGTCACTGACAACTGTTAACCAAGATACAGCACACCAGGTACACTCAGACTCTCTACAGTTACTGACAACTGTTAACCAAGATACAGCACACCAGGTACACTCAGACTCTCTACAGTCACTGACAACTGTTAACCAAGATACAGCACACCAGGTACACTCAGACTCTACAGTCACTGACAACTGTTAACCAAGATACAGCACACCAGGTACACTCAGACTCTCTACAGTCACTGACAACTGTTAACCAAGATACAGCACACCAGGTACACTCAGACTCTCTACAGTCACTGACAACTGTTAACCAAGATACAGCACACCAGGTACACTCAGACTCTCTACAGTCACTGACAACTGTTAACCAAGATACAGCACACCAGGTACACTCAGACTCTCTACAGTCACTGACAACTGTTAACCAAGATACAGCACACCAGGTACACTCAGACTCTCTACAGTCACTGACAACTGTTAACCAAGATACAGCACACCAGGTACACTCAGACTCTACAGTCACTGACAACTTTTAACCAAGATACAGCACACCAGGTACACTCAGACTCTCTACAGTCACTGACAACTGTTAACCAAGATACAGCACACCAGGTACACTCAGACTCTCTACAGTCACTGACAACTGTTAACCAAGATACAGCACACCAGGTACACTCAGACTCTACAGTCACTGACAACTGTTAACCAAGATACAGCACACCAGGTACACTCAGACTCTCTACAGTCACTGACAACTGTTAACCAAGATACAGCACACCAGGTACACTCAGACTCTACAGTCACTGACAACTGTTAACCAAGATACAGCACACCAGGTACACTCAGACTCTCTACAGTTACTGACAACTGTTAACCAAGATACAGCACACCAGGTACACTCAGACTCTCTACAGTCACTGACAACTGTTAACCAAGATACAGCACACCAGGTACACTCAGACTCTCTACAGTCACTGACAACTGTTAACCAAGATACAGCACACCAGGTACACTCAGACTCTACAGTCACTGACAACTTTTAACCAAGATACAGCACACCAGGTACACTCAGACTCTCTACAGTCACTGACAACTGTTAACCAAGATACAGCACACCAGGTACACTCAGACTCTCTACAGTCACTGACAACTGTTAACCAAGATACAGCACACCAGGTACACTCAGACTCTACAGTCACTGACAACTGTTAACCAAGATACAGCACACCAGGTACACTCAGACTCTCTACAGTCACTGACAACTGTTAACCAAGATACAGCACACCAGGTACACTCAGACTCTACAGTCACTGACAACTGTTAACCAAGATACAGCACACCAGGTACACTCAGACTCTACAGTCACTGACAACTGTTAACCAAGATACAGCACACCAGGTACACTCAGACTCTACAGTCACTGACAACTGTTAACCAAGATACAGCACACCAGGTACACTCAGACTCTACAGTCACTGACAACTGTTAACCAAGATACAGCACACCAGGTACACTCAGACTCTCTACAGTCACTGACAACTGTTAACCAAGATACAGCACACCAGGTACACTCAGACTCTACAGTCACTGACAACTGTTAACCAAGATACAGCACACCAGGTACACTCAGACTCTACAGTCACTGACAACTGTTAACCAAGATACAGCACACCAGGTACACTCAGACTCTCTACAGTCACTGACAACTGTTAACCAAGATACAGCACACCAGGTACACTCAGACTCTCTACAGTCACTGACAACTGTTAACCAAGATACAGCACACCAGGTACACTCAGACTCTACAGTCACTGACAACTGTTAACCAAGATACAGCACACCAGGTACACTCAGACTCTCTACAGTCACTGACAACTGTTAACCAAGATACAGCACACCAGGTACACTCAGACTCTCTACAGTCACTGACAACTGTTAACCAAGATACAGCACACCAAGTACACTCAGACTCTCTACAGTCACTGACAACTGTTAACCAAGATACAGCACACCAGGTACACTCAGACTCTCTACAGTCACTGACAACTGTTAACCAAGATACAGCACACCAGGTACACTCAGACTCTCTACAGTCACTGACAACTGTTAACCAAGATACAGCACACCAGGTACACTCAGACTCTCTACAGTCACTGACAACTGTTAACCAAGATACAGCACACCAGGTACACTCAGACTCTCTACAGTCACTGACAACTGTTAACCAAGATACAGCACACCAGGTACACTCAGACTCTCTACAGTCACTGACAACTGTTAACCAAGATACAGCACACCAGGTACACTCAGACTCTCTACAGTCACTGACAACTGTTAACCAAGATACAGCACACCAGGTACACTCAGACTCTCTACAGTCACTGACAACTGTTAACCAAGATACAGCACACCAGGTACACTCAGACTCTACAGTCACTGACAACTGTTAACCAAGATACAGCACACCAGGTACACTCAGACTCTCTACAGTCACTGACAACTGTTAACCAAGATACAGCACACCAGGTACACTCAGACTTAGGGGTGTAACGATACACAAACCTGACGGTTCGGTTCGTCCCACGGTTTTGAGGTCTCGGTTCGGTTCATTTCGGTGGGGTGGGGGGGTTTAGAAAGCTAAAATTGCTTTTATTTTTTATTAAACAGTGCTTTAATGAACAAATTGTGTCTTTGTCTTTAAATTAATTAAATTACAAGTAAACGTTTCTCAAGGATAACAAAATTATCTGCTAATGCTGTAAACTATAGCCCTTACTTGCACATTACTATAACATTAAAGCTTAACAAGCCTAGACTTTTAGCCTAAATGATATAATAATAATCAACACTCAAATAACAAATTGTATGAAAACATGTAAAATGCACATAAGGCAATTTTTGCATTAACATGTTTTTACTCTAATTTGTTATTGTTATATAATAATTTACACAGTTGCTGTTATTTTCATGACAACTATTTTACACATACATTAAATAATCAAGATATCATAAACAGGTTAAGTAAAATATAATATATAGGCTAATATATAGCATTTATTTAGTGAAAGAGTTAGCAAACCAGCAAGCTGTGGACACTGAATGACTTGCCTGAGGTAAATATAAAGCTATGTGAAAAACTAAGCGTTTTATTTGACGTATTTCCGCTGTTGAAACACTGATTGAGTGTTTACACGAGTTATGATGCCTTTCAGTAAGTATACTGTATCTTTCAACATACCTTCGGGTGTCCATTCATGTTTATTCTGTAACTGAGGAAGAGATGATCGCGCTGCCGCATGCATACAGTGATATCTGTCACGCCACATCTAAGAGCGCCAAAACGGCATTTATTGTTTACATTTCGTGATCAAATAGACATAATTTGAAAGATTACACATTGCTTATTATCAAAAGTAACAAAACACTGAGCTTATTGCGATTATATGTGGCCATGTGAGTGGTGTTATTAAGAGTGACCACGGTCAATCTGAGTGCAGTAAATGTGCAAGATATGAATCAAAAAGATGTTAATTCAGCCAGCTCACATACCTGTATTTACTTCCTGTTTTCGTTCGAAGTCCACAGCAGTCGATTGTCGAGTTCGCGTGCGCGATCATTAGTTATTAGTTACCAATGATCGCGCGCGCGAACTTGACAATCGACTGCTGTGGACTTCGAACGAAAACAGGAATTAAATACAGGTATGGGAGCTGGCTGAATCGTTTTTATTCATATCTTGCACATTTACTGCAGTCAGATTGACCGTGGTCATTCTTAATAACACCACTCACATGGCTGTGCACTTCTAATGACAAATCAAGGATGTTAAGAGGCTAAAAGCAGGTTTAGAACTTGCCCCATTGAAGTCAACAGGGTGCGAATTTTAAAAAGAGGATAACACGATTTTTGTCGTTTTTGTCTCTACTGACAGCACTCCAAATGTACAAAAAAATTAGCTCAGTTAAAATTGACCGGAGTTCTCCTTTAATGGTGGTTAGGCAACAGCCCTGTATTCGTTGTGAACACATAACACATGAGGTGCAATGAGCCGGGGCTGGGCGGGGCAGCAGGGGGCGGGGCGTGTTCGGTTCGCCATGAGAGTATCGCGATACGTATCGTGGGTGGTGTATCGCGGTTTTTCGGTTCGGTTCAAATATCGTTACACCCCTACTCAGACTCTACAGTCACTGACAACTGTTAACCAAGATACAGCACACCAGGTACACTCAGACTCTCTACAGTCACTGACAACTGTTAACCAAGATACAGCACACCAGGTACACTCAGACTCTCTACAGTTACTGACAACTACAGTATTAACCAAGATACAGCACACCAGGTACACTCAGACTCTACAGTCACTGACAACTGTTAACCAAGATACAACTCACCAGGTACACTCAGACTCTACAGTCACTGACAACTGTTAACCTAGATACAGCACACCAGGTACACTCAGACTCTCTACAGTTACTGACAACTACAGTATTAACCAAGATACAGCACACCAGGTACACTCAGACTCTACAGTCACTGACAACTGTTAA